TCTGTCTCTAGGTGTAGAATATATAAATCTGTCTCTAGGTGTAGAATATATAAATCTGTCTCTAGGTGTAGAATATATAAATCTGTCTCTAGGTGTAGAAAATATAAATCTGTCTCTAGGTGTAGAAAATATAAATCTGTCTCTAGGTGTAGAATATATAATTATTTCTGTCTCTAGGTGTAGAATATATGAATATATCTGTCTCTAGGTGTAGAATATATAAATCTGTCTCTAGGTGTAGAATATATGTATCTGTCTCTAGGTGTAGGAAATATAAATATATATATCAGTCTCTAGGTGTAGAATATATAATCTGTCTTTAGGTGTAGAATATATAAATATGTCTCTATGTGTAGAATATACAAATATATCAGTCTCTAGGTGTAGAATATATAAATATATCTGTCTCTAGGTGTAGAATATATAAATCTGTCTCTAGGTGTAGAATATATAAATCTGTCTCTAGGTGTAAAAAATATACATCTGTCTCTAGGTGTAGAATATATAATCAGTCTCTAGGTGTAGAATATATAAATATATCAGTCTCTAGGTGTAGACTAAATAAATCTGTCTCTAGGTGTAGAATATATAAATCTGTCTATATGTGTTGAATATATAAATATATCAGTCTCCAGGTGTATAATATATAAATATATAAGTCTCTGGGTGTAGAATATATAAATCTGTCTCTATGTGTAGAATATATAAATATATCAGTCTCTAGGTGTAGAATATATAAATATATCAGTCTCTGGGTGTAGAATATATAAATCCTTCTCAAGGTATAGAATATATAATTAAGAAAAACGTAATCTAACCATAGTTGACTAAAACAAATTCCGGCTTTGCATGAATAATCGAAATTCAACAATTTGAAATGCTTAAAGACAAAAATGTCTCAATTTCACAGACATTTCTTTAAACCTTTCCCTAGAAGCTTAAAACTCAAGAATATTTTTTACAGTTTATCTGGCGTTTTTTTGTAAACAATAAATGTCAAAATTCGGACTAACCGATCGGGCCAAATTTGTGTACAGCATTTAGGGATAAGTTTGGTCTTGGGGATATTTAAAGTTTTAGTTTTTTATTTTTATTTTAGAGTCCTATCAATCAAACTAATATATTCAAGTATTTTTTACATTCTCAAAGTAAGCACTTTTTAAAGATCTTCTGTGAGGGAGAAGAGTTTCGTTAAATTCTGTATTTGGAAATCTCCGGGTACCATTAACTATATATACAAGTATCCTACCTAGGAACTGATCTGATCCTGTTATTGATATCTCCAGTTCTATTAACTATATAAAAGTATCCTACCTAGGAACTGAACTGATCCTGTTATTGATATCTTTGGTTCTGTTAACTATATAGACAAGTATCCTACCTAGGAACTGATTTGATCCTGTTATTGATATCTCCAGTTCTATTAACTATATAAAAGTATCCTACCTAGGAACTGAACTGATCCTGTTATTGATATCTTCGGCTCTGTTAACTATATAGACAAGTATCCTACCTAGGAACTGATCTGATCCTGTTATTGATATCTCCAGGTACCATTAACTATATAGACAAGTATCCTACCTAGGAACTGAACTGATCCTGTAATTGATATCTTCGGTTCTATTAGACAAGTAACCTACCGAGGAACTGAACTGATCCTGTTATTGATATCTCCAGTCCTATTAACTATATAAAAATATCCTTCCTGGGAACTGAACTGATCCTGTTATTGATATCTCCAGTTCTATTAACTATATAAAAGTATCCTACCTAGGAACTGAACTGATTCTGTTATTGATATCTCCAGTTTTATTAACTATATAAAAATATCTATCCTGGGAACTGAACTGATCCTGTTCATTGATATCTCCAGGTTCTATTAACTATATGAAAGTATACTTCCTGAGAACTGAACTGATCCTGTTCATTGATATCTCCAGGTTCTATTCAATATAGTAACGTATCCTAACTAGGAATTGAACTGATACTGTCCATTAATATCTCCAGGTTCTATTCAATATAGTAACGTATCCTACCTTGGAACTGAACTGATTCTGTTTCTTGATATCTCCAGGTTCCTCAGCCTTCTCCAAGGTTGGTTGAGAGTGTCCGGCCAGATCTCTAAATCATTCCCAGACAGAGAGAGAAAATCTAACCTAGAATTTTTAAATCATTAATGATTTTTTCCTCTTATTATCATCAGTTTTCACTTGCATTTTAACCTTTCTTATGATTGATGGAGGTTCTGATTTAACCTCAATCATTATTTATCTGATATCAAAGTTTTTTAAAATCTTTTTTCCATTAGTTATCCAGTATAGAATGAAGGTCTAGTTTTCTCTTTTCAAACTCCATTATGACCCGTCCATTAGAGGATAGAGGTCTGTATTTTTTATCTCCAGCTACATTATTACCTATCTATCAGAGTATGGAGGTTTATAACCCATCTCAAGCTCCATTATTACCTATCTATAAGATGATGGAAGTCTATAACCTATCTACAGCTCAATTATTACCTATATATTAGATAATGGAATCCTCGATTTCTATCCCGACCTCCATTATCACCTATCTAAAAGAGGATGGATGTCTATAACCTATCTCCAGGTTCCATTATTAGCTATCTATAAGATGACGGAGGTCTATAACCTATCTCCAGCTCCATTATTACCTATCTTTAGATGATGGAGGTCTATAACCTATCTACAGCTCCATTATTATCTAACTTTAAGATGATGGAGGTCTATAACTTATCTACAGCTCCATTATTACCTATCTTTAAGATGACGGAGGTCTATAATCTATCTACAGCTCCATTATTACCTATCTATCAGAGGATGGAGGTTTATAACCTATCTCAAGCTCCATTATTACCTATCTATTAGATAATGAAGTTCTCGATTTCTATCCCGAGCTCCATTATTACCTATCTACAAGAGGATGGAGGTCTATAACCTATCTCAAGCTCCATTATTACCTATCTATTAGATAATGAAGTTATCGATTTCTATCCCGAGCTCCATTATTACCTATCTACAAGAGGATGGAGGTCTATAACCTATCCCCAGCTCCATTATTACCAATCTATAAGATGATGGAAGTCTGTAACCTATCCCCATCTCCATTATTACCTATCTACAAGAAGATGGAAGGCTACAACCTATCTCCAGCTCCATTATTACCTATCTTTAAGATGATGGAGGTCTACATTTCTATCTCCTGATCCAGTATAAAGTCTATTGTCTGCCAGGTTTAGACTAACCAGCCTACGAAAAAATCTTGATTTCCGATTAATTTTGCAGAAAATCTTGATTTCAGAGTAATTTTTGCAAAACATCTTGATTTCAGAATAATTATGCAAAAAATCTTGATTTCAGAATAATTTTGCAGAAAATCTTGATTTCAGAATAATCTTGCAGAAAAGTTTGATTTTAGAATAATGCAAAACATCTTGACTTCAGAATAATTTTACAGAAAATCTTGATTTCAGAATAATTTTGGAGAAAATTTTGATTTCAAAATACTTAGATCAATATTGACTCAGGCTTTGAATAAAATCTATTTTAAATTACAGGGTTTTTACATACTTCCCTAGATCATTTCATCCAGTACATACTGGTACAGGTACAGGTACAGGTACAGGTACAGGTACGGGTACAGGTACAGGTACAGGTACAGGTACAGGTACAGGTACAGGTACAGGTACAGGTACAGGTACGGGTACGGGTATGGGTACGGGTACGGGTACAGGTACAAGTACAGGTACAGGTACAGGTACAGGTACAGGTACAGGTACAGGAACTACCTGGTAAGGTTGAGGAGAAGATGAGGATGAATATCTTGTATTCTATTCCTTGATAGATCAAGGCTGGTTAGCTTACTCAACCCTGAGACAGCAGATGGGAAGGAGTTGAGTTGGTTTCCGGAGAGATCAAGGAGAAGTAAACCCGGAGAAAGGGAATTTAGAGAATCTGTGGTCATCTCACTCAGTTTACTGGATACAAGAGTAACCTAGAGAATACAGGCATACAAGGGTAACCTAGAGAATACAGGGATACAAGGGTATCCTTAAAAAATACAGGGATACAAGGGTAACCTCGAGAATACAGGGATACAATAGTAACCTAGAGAATACAGGGATACAAGGGTAACCTAGAGAATACAGGAATACAAGGGTAACCTAGAGAAAATAGGTATACAAGGGTAACCTAGAGAATACAGGGATACAAGGGTAACCTAGAGAATACAGGTATATTAGGGTAACCTGGAGAATACAAAAAGAGAAACTTACAGAATTATGGGAAAATTTCTAAAGAAAATATAAAATTCAAGATTTGAATTTGGATGAATATCTCTAAACCGTTGCTAACCCCTGGAAAAGTAAGGAATGCCGAGGTTTGCAATTACAAGGAACAATCACAAACCTCTTGTGTGGTTTCTAATGAGTAGGTAGAGAGGGGCAAGGATACATAAATTTCAAACTGAATTTGGTTGGACCTATTATGAATATCCTGCCACACGCCATTCAAAGATTAAATACATGGAGTTCCCAAATTTGAGGATGCAGATATAACAAAATCTTGAAACTGTAAAGTGCTGTTCGGAATTGAAGGTTTAATAATTTAGTTTCTGTTGTATTTAGTCCTTTGTAGTCCTGTATCCTGTAGTCCTTTGTAGTCCTGAATCCAGGGGTTCAGTTGTGGTTCANCTACTGCAAGTAGACCTGTATTCTGAAGTACTACTGCAAGTAGTCCTGTCTTCTGTAGTTCTACTGCAAGTAGACCTGTATTTTGTAGTCCCACTGCAAGTAGTCCTGTATTCTGAAGTACTACTGCAAGTAGTCCTGTATTCTGAAGTAGTACTGCAAGTAGTCCTGTCTTCTGTAGTTATACTGCAAGTAGACCTGTATTCTGAAGTACTACTGCAAGTAGTCCTGTATTCTGAAGTACTACTGCAAATATTCCTGTATTCTGTAGTTCTACTGCAAGTAGTCTTGTATTTTGTAGTACCACTGCAAGTAGTCCTGTATTCTGAAGTACTACTGCAAATATTCCTGTCTTCTGTAGTTCTACTGCAAGTAGTCTTGCATTCTGAAGTACTACTTCAAGTAGTCCTGTATTCTGAAGTACTACTGCAAGTAGTCCTGTATTCTGAATTACTACTGCAAGTAGACCTGTATTCTGAAGTACTACTGCAAGTAGTCCTGTATTCTGAAGTACTACTGCAAGTAGTCCTGTATTTTATGGCTCACTGCAAGTAGTCCTGTATTCTGAAGTACTACTGCAAATATTCCTGTCTTCTGTAGTTCTACTGCAAGTAGTCTTGTATTTTGTAGTCCCACTGCAAGAAGTCTTGTATTTTGTAGTCCCACTGCAAGTAGTCCTGTATTCTGAAGTACTACTGCAAGTAGTCTTGTATTTTGTAGTCCTACTGCAAGTAGTCTTGTATTTTGTAGTCCTACTGAAGTCATTTTATTTTATAATCCTGTAGTCCATACACGGCGAATAATTTGCATAGTAAACCTATTATATGTTTCGTAAACCAAGTTGAAGGGTTTACAATTAATTAACATAACTAATTGTCCAGCTCTTCAACTATGTAGTTAATTAAATGCCTAGGTAACGTAAATAATACCATTTCAATAAGTTTATTACAAGATATATAGTTGTAATGTTGTCTACAGGAATATTGTCAATGTAATAAATATATTTCAAGATTTATAGTTGTAATGTTGTCTACAGGAATATTGTCAATATTTCAAGATTTATAATTGCAATGTTGTCTACAGGAATATTGTCAATGTTATAAATATATTTCAAGATTTATAGTTGTAATGTTGTCTACAGGAATATTGTCAATGTAATAAATATATTTCAAGATTTATAGTTGTAATGTTGTCTACAGGAATATTGTCAATGTAATAAATATATTTCAAGATTTATAGTTGTTATTAAAGATTGTCTACCTTTTGTATATCTGATGTAGACCCATCAAACTGTTATTAAAGATTGTCTACCTGTCGTATATTACATATCGACCTATCAACCTGTTATTAAAGATTGTCTACCTGTCGTATATTATATATCGACTTATCAATCTGTTATCAAAGATTGTCTAGCTGTTGTATATCAGATGTAGACATATCAAGCTGTTATCAAAAATTGTCTACCTGTTGTATATTATATATCGACCTATCAACCTGTTATAAAAAAAACTACCTGTTGTATATCAGATGTAGACATATCAACCAGTTTACCAAGCTTTTTTATATTACATTCTGAAGCGATCAAACAAACTGTCAAAAAAAAATTTTTTTCCAATCATTTCTTCAAGGCCATCAGAGTAATGACTTTCTGTTTTCAAAGAATCCAAGTTTTAAAATTTAAAATAAAAAGAAATTGTGGATTAACTTTTATTGAAAAATTCAACCCACGCTATTTCAAATTTCAGTTAAATCTTTCTAGAAGTTCTCTTTGGATGCAAGCACCTTTGATTCAATTAGTTTTTCTTTTGTCATAGTTATGTCTTTTTTGCAACTTTGTTCTTAATCTATAATTCATTTCTTGATTTGTATAAGTTAATGAAAAATAATAAGTTTTGAAACTGAAAAAGTAGAAGATTATTAAATATTAAAGAGTTGAAACTAAAATATTTAATCAAAATGTTTGTTTATCCCTGAGATATGAATATGGTTTGGTAAGGTTGGGAGTTTGATCAGGGTTCTCCTGATCTCAGGGTACTCTGCACCCTCTCCACACTCAAACCTGGACTCCATATCCTTCAGGAGACAGGAGCTGGAAGCAGGTTTAACTCCTGATGATCTCCTAGAACCAGGAGACTGAAGATTCTTATCGATTGTCGACTCTGGTGGAGCAAGGTTTGATTCCGAGCTAGTTATAAGAAGGGAGGAGGATTTAGTTGTTCTGAGGACTAAACCTAGTTTAGAGATAGGGTTGGATACTGGGGGAGATGATGGAGAAGATAGAGAAGAGGACGAGGAGGATGAGTTGGATAAGGGGGAAGAGGCGGAGGATGAAGAGAATATAGGTGCTGCTGAGGAAGATGATGATAAGGAAGAGAAAGATCGTCCAGGCGTCCTTGTTGTGTTTATCGGGTCAAAGTTATCCAGGGTTACAGAACTTTGGCTCTGTGCTAAACCTGATACCTGGAGATTACACAGAATCCTAAAACAAAAATATACTGATATTTTCACATTTCATGGGAGGGGGAAACAACGAAATGATAGAATATCGAATCTTTTAAAGAAATATTATATCATTTTTTTATCATGTTCCCTAGGCCCCCCCCCCTAATTACGCCTCCGTAAGTTAACGTAATTTCATATTACGTGTATATAGATCAAGCAGTTACTAGATAATTAGCTACCATAGGGTGGTTTACTTAAAGATACATGAAAATCATTTATAAAAAGTACTCATCATTGAAATATTTTGAATCAAAATGAGTCTCTTCAGAAACAAGAAAAAAACAAGATATTTTAGTGAACTTCAAATTATTTTTAGATAAAATTATTCTATAAAATTCAAGGGAATGGTTAGACATTTTTTACGTGACTTTATTTTTTTTAAATAATGCATCAGAGCTGATGAATGATGATGGAAACTTTTGATATAATTCATAGTATGAAATATCAAATATCTGGTTTAGCCTATACCCCCTTTCATTTTTCGGTTTAAAAACTAACCACAAATCTATGCCCGTATTTACTTGTAAATTTTTTACAGTATTTTTATTGTTTTAATTTTCATCATGTCTATTTTCTATGTGTTATTTTTTAGAAATGGTGGACCTATTGGAGTTTAGATATTCAACGAGGGGTAGAAGGCCTGGCACGACAATATCTCGTCCGATCCACAATCTCCTCATTTTCTCGTCCGAGCCACCTCGAAATCATCGTCCTTCCCGAATTACATTTTTAAGTTTGCAATCCTTAAAGATCACTTTTTTATTCTGGCCAAGTTAGAGCAAAAAAAAAAAAATTGAATTTTTGTAAATTGAACAAAATTGTATCAATTTGATTAAAGATTTGATGTTACATGTCTTTAAAAGCTGTTAACTTTTTTGCACGTGGCCAAATTTTCTAAAAATAAGACTCAAGGATTGGACACTTAAAAAATATTTTAAAGGAAGAACGAGGATTTAAAGGTGGCTCAGGCGAGAAAATGAGAATGTGGCTCGGACGAGAAACTGTTATGGCTGGCCTCAGTCAACAACAATGAATAGTCAGTATATTGTAAAGAGCACTCACTTGGTGGAACACTTGGAGAAAGAAACCCGCGAAAATAGAAAATATTTTCACAAATGTTAAAAACACATTTCCTTACTCTCAAATATTATGGAAAATAAGATTTTTGACCAGCACAGCAAAAACATACTTCATGAAAGTTTAAACAATATCTTATTACAGTTTGGGACATACATATTTTTACATGTAATATTGTACCAATGTTACAGTGAGCACGTTGGGACATTTTTACATGCTGGAAATAAATTATTGTTTTGAAAATATTAGAAATGATGCAGCGTCAAAAAAAATATATTTTATGTTATAATTTCAGGAACTTTGCAGAATCAAAAAAATATTATTTTTCAAAATGTACAATGTTTAACTTATGTTACCACAATAAAGAAATTAATTTGTTGCCACAAACTTTGATAATTCAGTCCAACAATATCTTTGCAACCCAATGGAATGGACTTTACATGAATTCGGTTAGATCAAAATATGAATTCTGTTAAATCAAAATATGAATTCTGTTAGATCAAATAATCTAAGTTTAAAATGTCAAAGAAAGGTTTACACCATCAGGTTGCAAAGATTATTAAAGTTTGTGGCTAACATTTATTTATTAAAATATTTGATAATGAATTGATTTTGACGATTTAATATGAAAACTAAGTAAATAGCTCATTTTATAGCATAAATGTGTACACTGTGCTACGAAGGGGGAAAGGCCAGCAAAAACAATTTCTAGTCCGAGCCACATTATCCTCATTTTCTCGTCCGAGCCAACTCGCAATCCTCGTCATTTCAATATTATTTTTCTTAAGTGTCTAGTCCTCCAAGATAAAACTTCTTTTTCAAGAATCGGGCCACGTTAGGGCATAAATAAAATAGTGAATTTTAGTAAATTGAAAAAAATTGTTTCAATTGAATTAAAGTTTTCAAGTTCTATGTCCTTCAAAATGTTCACCTTTCTCATGCGCTGTTTTTGGTGTAGAATGCCGCAAATAATTCCGAGGTTATAGAACTTTAATCATTTTTGTTAATTGAAGTGAAAACCATAGATTTTTCCGGGTGGTTCCATGGGGAAATTGGTAGGCAGAGGTATGCCAAATATTTTTTTATTTATTTTATAACGCGAAGGTTGGCTTGAGTTTTAAGTTTTACTTAAATAAAGTTTGACATCATGTCTCTAAAGATTCAAACATGATTTAATCATTGCAATACTTTAGGCTATCCATATGTTATGCCATAACGTGACCAGATATTAGAAACTTTTAAACTCATAATAATCGAAGGAAGAGGATTTCGAGGTGGTTCGGACGACAAAATGAGAAGAATGTGGCTCAGACGAGAAATTGTTGTGGTTGGCCTTCCTCCCCTCGTACTACCGTTTAAAGTTTTAAATAAAAGTACTCACCATAAATTGATTAAAATCATTTTACTGGTTTCTTGCTTGAACATTTTATCCTATTCACTGTATAGAACTCTAGCACTATTGTATTTGTTCGTAGAAAATGGGTGCGCACAGTTTATACATAATTGGAGGGGTCCCACCCACCCTTACCAGCTTACACTTATCAAGTATTGGTTTGCAAAATTTATTCACTAAGGCAGGGCAGGACAGTCAAACTGAAACATGATATAAATTTAAATATTAGAAAATTTGCAAGGTTCAGTTTTACAACGGTTTTTTAAAGCCTGGGTCTGCATTTATTGTAAAAATTTTACAATGCACAAGGTTTTATTCAAAGTTATGTATTTTCATTATAAAAAATTTAAGAGTCAATTACTCGTTTTATTCCTTAAACCGATGTTAGCAGTTCATGTTTATCAAATTGACATCTTTAAGTTGAACCCCCCAAAAAAATATTTGTACAATTTTCTTTAACAATAACTTGCTTTTAAATATTTGTCAATAAAGTTTCCCCCTATTGTAACTCTAAGATTCTTAAAATTGATCTGTGTGAGCCGTGCTCTGGAGAGTTTAATGCGCGGAGTAAGAGCGCGTGAGATCAGTATTCACACCTGGAAGATCAACATCCGACTAACGAGGCGCTCAATTCAAGTTCAGATATTGGTCGTGAGCGATACTTATTAATCTATCAAGTATACTAATTTTTCATTATTAAATCCGTCCAGAAATGTGAAGCCTTGAAATAAATAAGGGACAGATCTCCAGTTAAAAAAGAGAAGAAGTTTAGAAGTATTAACAATTTTCCTTCATCAAGCTTCAGATATAAGTGTACGAAATAAAAAAGGGACAGATCTCCAGTTAGAAAAGAGAAGAAGTTTAGAAGTATTAACAATTTTCCTTCATCAAGCTTCAGATATAAGTGTACGAAATAAAAAGGGACAGATCTCCCGTTAGAAAAGAGAAGAATTAATACGGCTGCAGACATAATTGCTAAAACGCTCTCATTCATTTAATTGACATGGCGTTAAAACACCTAAACGTTTTCATGAAACTTCCTGTTTTCTATTGTTAACAAATGACATAAATAACTTTAATTTAATATTCTAGATATATAGTTTCAAGCAATTATATCTGCAGCTCCATACAAATTCTTTTAAAATATTGATTCGCAGAAAATAAGAAATTAAAATTGATTTTACGTACGTAGTACATATCAGATTACATGTTGTACATACATTGCAATGCACGCAATGCACAATGTACATACTTAAAAATTTACGCATGTAATAAACAAATAAATATGTATTTCTACTTACTATGGTATACATAATATTTTGACATCTTTTTACATTTATAGTGTACAAATACAATATGTAGTAGTATGTCTTTATGCATTATACAAGGTGCAATTACGTATATATATACATATACAAGATATTTTTTTCAACGCCGATCTGTCTATCTATGTTTGCCTCGCCTGGTTCTTTCTCTGTATTTGTGACTTTATCATTCTCGATCATTACCTGTAAACCAGGGTTCAGGGGTCGTCAAGGAGGGAGGGGCTGCAGGGGCGCCATGAGCCTTGCAAAATGACCTCTGGAGCCTCTTAATTCGCAGAATGACCTCCAGGACCCGTGAAACCGACTCCGTCCCTCTTGCTATGTCCCCGAGCCTCCGCCATTCAGTCTCTACGCCTCACATTTTGGTCTCCGCTTGCTGTGGTCCAGAGGTCATTCTTTGAATCAGGAGGCTTGGAAGTCATTGTGCGGGGCTTATGGCTGCCATGCACCCCCTCCCTCCGTCGGCAATACTGCCTTACCCAGGGGTCAGGACACTTCAGATTCAGATAATATCATCATCAATGCTATTTATTCGGAACTAATGATTTAAATAGGTTTCCTTATAAAAATTTTCCAAGTCCAACTAAAGTAAAGAACAAGGAAGTTTGAAAGTTTGAAATCTTATATTTTATAATTATAATTCCTCTGACTTATGAGCTATTGAAGAACTGAAGAACAAAAACGTTGTAAATTTTTATTATGTAACCGGATATATTTGCTTTTTTCATGCTTGTGCATAAACCAAAAACTAAAGGAGCTACGAGGTCACAAAGTCTAACCATTAATGTCGCATTAATTCAACCTTCTTCCTCACTTTAGGAATAATTGATGAATAATTTCCTCATATATGAGGTTTCAGAATCTTACTTTTTTATTGAGTTGAAACATAAGGTTAATAATCTAATCAGAAATAATAGTCTAAATAATTCGTTAATTTTTAAGTATCATTTAGAGAAAAATTCTGTCATGGAACTGCACGGATCTAGATCATAGAAAGATCATTAAACCCCTGGATCCGGAATCTGGAAAGGTCTTAAAAAACGGATCCAGACGCCAAATCCGTCAACCCCGGTTCCTTTATTTGACGAAACTATTCCGAGAAAAACGGATCCGAGATATTTCCAAATAAACGAGATTTTAAAAAAATGGATTGGAATCTGGACACATTTTATTATCACTTCATCTTTACACTGCAACAGTTTTCTAAATATATGTTTCATATCTTATGCAAATACAGGGTCAGTTTGGGACATTTTAATTTTTTTTTGGTTTGTTCGAATTTTGGCAAAAAAATGATTAAAAAATTAAAAAATATTCTTGGAACATATCCACAACAGCAAATTACTTACGTAAAAAATGAAATTTTAAATTTTTAGAAAAATTGTTGGGAAATGTTCATTTTACTGTTTTCCAAAATTTCATAAAACTTCATTTAAAATCCTCAAAAATGTAGGGAAGAAATTATAGTAAATGTTATCAAATATAACCTTAGAACTGTTATGACTTCAACTATGCAATTTTTACATTTATTGTTTATAAATTTTTCTTTTTTTTTAATTCGGTTTCGCGGATTTGTTTTCAACGTTCTAAAAATTTCTAATTCCTTATTCTTTGGAACCTGATGGTGCAAACCTTCGATATATATTTTGAATTAAAGATTATTTATCTAACAGAATTCATGGTTTGAAACATGTAAGATCTACGACATTGGGTTGAAAAGATATAGGGATTAGAAAATCAGGGTTTATGGCAAGAACTCAATTCCTTTGTTGAATTCTCAATATATGAACCTTGTCGGTTCGTGATTTGGTCTGATTTTTCATTTTTTTAATCTGCAAGTTTGATTCTTTACTCAATGAGTCAGTAAAAAAATGAAAAATTTCGCAAACCTTCATTTTTAATAAAAATGACTAATTCTGTATTTTCTGAGCTATTGTTTTTACATCGAAGAACGAATTTTCACTTGTGTATGTTCTTTCATGAGAAACATTAAACAGGTTTCAAAGTTTGCATTCAATTTAACAAAGTTTACTGTTTAAATATCCAGAGCCCAGTGATGTTGTTCTTTGAAATACTTAAAACCAACTTCAGTCGGTTAAACATGCGCATCAGAGCTATACTCTCGTATATATATTATATATATTGTATACATGATAATCCTTTGATATTTCAAACTTAAACTACTTGATCTACCAAAATTTATAGTTTGAAATATCAAAGGTCTATCAAATCGCGTTGTAAAGATACAGTGACTAGAAAATCAGAGTTTGATGAAAAAAACTTAGCGGCTTTTACGTTAGACTGAAATCTTACATGTTTTAAATTAGAAATCCTTCTTAGTAAATAGTTATTTAGGAGAACAAACTTGGGTTGAATTTCCTATAGTATGTAGCCAAATAAAGAAATTTAGTCTTTGCCACAAATTCTGATTTTCTAATCCCTTTATCTTTGCATGTCGTATACTTAAGAGTTTTCAAACGATAAATTCTGTTGGATCAAATAATCTTAATTTGGAAGATTAAAGGTTTACACCATCAGGCGCGCAACTAGACATTTTGTTAGTGGGGGTAAGAGGGAAATATACCGCGCGAAGCGGAAATTTTTTTTGCCCCCCCAAACTTTTTTAAGGGGGGGGGGCAAGAAAAATGTGTATTTTAGAATTAAAAAACTAACCTTACCAACCGAATATTCAGTAAGTCAACACATCTGATATGATATTAAAAAAAGAAATCTATTCTGGTTAGTATAAATCACAATTTTTTAATATGCCACATCACACAATATTTGCGGTGAAAGTGTAGGATTAATTTAATTGCTGTACTACAGTATTAAATAATATCTAAAGATACTTAATAAACCCCCTTTCCCTTTCCCAGGAAAACATGAATCGCTAAATTACAAAACAGGGTGGACTTCTACAGGGGGGCAAGCCTTCTTAATGGAGGGGTAAAGGCTAAAGGGGGTCTTGACCCCCCCCCCCCCTAGTTGCGCGCCTGATTAAAGATATAGAGATTATAAAATTTGAGTATGGGCAACAAATTAATTTCTTTTACTTCTCATACTTGTGCCTGAAATCAAATCTAGAGGATTCCTGTAATGTCGCGTAAATTTGACCTTCTCTCCTTCTGTCACGTGGGGTGTGTAGTTGTTTTTTGATCATAATTATTTCATATCCTCTTATTCATTAGTCACAAAAGGCTGTGAAGTTACAGATCTCTTTGGTTGAAATTGTGTATTTTGGTTGTTTTTGTCCTGAATTTACCAAGTATGTGTAAACCTTACATAAATATTTCTCATACAAACATTTTCTTACAAGACTTCTCATGGACAAAATGTGAGGAAAAGTTGGATTTAGATTATCCTAGGTTTCACAAAATGTCTGATGATCTGAGTATTGTAATAAATCTGGCAATCGTTCAATACCTTACTTTAGTATCAGATAGAGATCCATCCAACCATCTATCTATCTATCTAAATGTCTATCTGTCTGTCTGTCTGTCTGGCTGACTGTCTTACTATCTATACATGGATGGGTTCACACCTATAGACCAACTTTCAGATCATTCATCCTATCTTTTTTTTTGTACTTTATCCTAGTATCTATCCTACATTTTTGTACTTTATCCTAGTATCTATCCTACATTTTTGTACCTTATCCTAGTATCTATCCTACATCCTCGTATCCGTCCTGTATACACCTATTCATCCTATATCCTCCTATCCATTCATCATCCACCTAGCAATCCTATCTCCTCTAATCCACCCTGTATCCTCCTATCCATCCTATATCCACCTATCCATCCTATATCCACCTATCCATCCTGTAGCAACCTATCCATCCTATATCCACCTAGCAATCCCATCTCCTCTAA